ACTTAAATGTAAGTTTTTATAAAGGGAGCAAAAGGGTGAAGATGTACGGAAGATTCAAAAGAGTTGTTAAACAAGTATCAGAAGACAGAATGACCAAGGTGATGCAGAAAACAACTAAAGCCCAGAAATTTTCAGTATAAGTTTCAGGAGGAAACACAGGTCAGCAGGAGTTGCAGGAGTTTACAGGAGTTACAGGAGTGAGCTGGTTGGGAACAACTCACTTATTTCTTTATCGTTCCAAGCACTTGCCACCACAAAGATCCAGAGAGCACACATTTTGATAGAGCACAAAAACAGTAAATACAAGGCATACAGACTACAGAACAGAAAGATGTGGTGGAAAAGATGATGCAAGAATTAATTAATGCTGGTGCATAGAGAGGCCATTTATATTATGGTGGACAGGCTAAGCAAGTATTTTTCACATTTTATTCCTCTATCTCACCCATTTTTCAGCTGCAAAAGTGGCTCAAATTTTCTATGGAGACACATTTCAAACTGCATGGAATGCCAATAATATCAGAGACAATTTCTTTAAGTGCATTTGTGCAGGAGTTCTTCCCATTACAACGGGTTAGCCTGCAATATTCAACATAATATCATCCTCATAGATGGTGATACAGAGGTGATGAACAGAGAAACAAACTTGACATGTAAGTGTCATGAAGAACCAACTATTCTGATGGTTATACACCTCCTATGCATCTTCAATGTTTCAAATTTGATCTGAAAATTGCAGGATTGGAAGCATATATTGCTTGGGAGAAAAGAAAATCTCGGGAAGCTAAAATTTCATTTGTTAAGACGCAAAAAAGGATGACACAAATAGCAAACGAACACCAGACGTACTGAACCTATGAAGCCGAAGGCAGTTTATCTTCAGTTTCAACTGCATAGACAACATAAAGTGGTCCAACACAACAATCAAAAGTTAGACACCATATGCAAAGGACCCTTCAGAGTGGTTCAAAAGATTGGCAGAGTTAGCTACAAATTACAGTCGCCAGTACGATAAAGACCCACCCAATTTTTAATGTCAAAATTGATGACAGCACTAGAAGGATTGCAGCTACAGAACACACCCACACAGCAGCACGAAGACAACCCTCAACCCCAGCAGATTCTGGATAGAAGATTAGAGAAAAAACAGAACAGATGACTAACAGAATTACTCATCCAATGGCAAGGAGCAAGCCCTATGAAGCAACATGGAAAGATATCACTGATTTTCAGGCAAAGTTTCCCACATTTTTTCCTTAAGGACAAGGGATTTTAAGGGGATTAATATAATAGAGAATACAACGCAGTGCAAATGGGCGGGAACATACAGAAGGTTAATTGTACGGTTAGTCACAAACCGGATAATAAATACCTGTATCATGTTTTGAAACGCATTTGGAAATAATCAATGAACTCTACCACTCCGTCTACATGACTATCTCCCACCATCTATATCTCTAATATCAAATTTTCCACTCGCAACTTCTTTCCAGAAGCCAAACATAATCAAAACTTAAATGCAGTCGAAATTAAAGCTCA